ATATATATATATATTCACTTCAATGTTTTGTCATTGAAATATGCTTTCAGTGTAATTATCTGCTTTGAAGGAATGAGTTGACACAGACACATTGTGGAAAGGTTTAGAGCTTTATAGTGAGAGTTGAGGTGCTTCCCAGCATAGTGTCTTGCATCTCCATGCATGGAGTTTCTCTCTGGGTGCCAGATCCCAGATCAGGGATTTAATTGTGGGCCTGTTTTGGACACACAACTGAACAGAATGAGAAGTAAAATTGAGAGGGAGTGTTGAAATTTCCCTGCTTGGAGTAAACTGTTATCCTTATCATAAAAAAGGTATTTGAGACTTGTGTGAAAATGGCCTTTTCTGAGGTTCCCTGTGCTCTGACAGCTTGTTTAGCTTATTAGAGAGGCTTGGATGAGGATGGCTGTGCAGGATTTCTTTTTCATTGCAAGAATCTGTCTCCCATGGAACCCAGGTTGCCCCTGGTCTGGGGAGACAGTGGAGACTAGTGGTTTCAGGATGGTCCAAGGGCCTTCGGGGCAGATACACCAGGACAGAAAATCCCAGCTCTGCCTTATACTAGCTGTGTCACCTTAGTCAGGTTCTTTAATGTCAGTGGATTTTATTTTCCTCTTGTATGTTAGAGATACAGATAATATGTCTTTTCTGGGAATTTAGTGAAGATTAAATAATTACAATTAATAAGGATTAAATAAGGTAATGTATGTACAGCTGTAGGCATGGTTCCTGGCACAGAGTTAGTGCTCAGGCAACCATTATCATTATTCTTATTTCTGTTAGATTTGATTGCTTTTAACATGCAGGATACTATTTGGGCTAATACGATGTCTATTTGGCTCACCCACTTAACCTTTTTTACTGATATATAATAATTGTACATATTTATGGGGCATGTATGCTATTTTGTTACATGCCTATAATGTGTAATGATCAAATCACCTCCAACATTTGTCATTTCTTTGTGTTGGGAATATTTCATATCTTCTAGCTATTTTGAAATACACACTGTACAGCAGTTAACCATAGTCACCCTACTGTGTTATAAAATACTAGAACTTATTCCTTTTATCTAACTGTATTTTTGTACCCATTAAACAACTTCTCTTCATCCTTTCCACTGCTTTCTTAGCCTCTGATAACTATCATTCTACTTTCTACTTCCTTGAGATTCATGTTTTTAGCTGCTACATATGAGAACATGTGATATTTGTTTTTCTGTGCCTTCACTTGACATAATGACCTCCAGTTCAATCTATGTTGCTGCAAATGACAGAATTTCATTCTTTTTTATGGCTGAATAGCAGTCCATTTTGTATGTGTATATTTATCCATTCATCCATTGATGAGCACTTAGGATCACTTCATATCTTGGCTGTTGTGAATAGTGCTGCAATAAATGTGGGGGCACAGGTATTCCTTTGATATACTGATTTCCTTTTCTCTGGATAAATACCAAGTAGTGGGATTGCTGGATTATATAGTGGTTCTATTTTTAGTTTTTTGAGAAATCACCATACTGTTTTCCATAATAGCTGTACTAATTTACATTCCCACTGTCAGTGTATAAGAGTTCCCTTTTCTCCCCATCCTTACCAGCATTTGCTATTTTTAATCTTGATCATAGCCATTGTAACTGGGTTGAGATGATATCTCGTTGTGGTTTTGACTTTCATTGCCCTGATGATTAGTGATGTTGAGCTTTTTTTTATATACCCATGGGCCATTTGTATGTCTTCTTTTGAGAAATGTCTGTTCAGATCTTCTTCCCACTTTTTAATGGTATTATTTGTAGTTTTTTTTTTTTT